GATTGGTGGACACAGAGAGTCCACCTAGGGAGGTTGGAGGACCCTGATTTCAAACAACTGATGCACATGGACTCCAGTATCCTGTGGTACAAATGGCGTATGAACCAGTCGATGATCATCGGCTACCATGGGACTGCATCTCCTGATGTTGTTTCACTGCCTTGTGGATCAGACCTTTAGGTCGAAGGCTTCGGTTGTGGCCCCGTAAGAAAACCACCTGCTTCGGTTTGAGCACTCGGGCAGTATCACAGCCCTCATACAGAACAAATGAGATTTGTGTGGCGCATATGTATCTGATGTCTCCTTGTACCAATATCTGTGTTCAAATAAAATAAAAAGCTGTAAAATGCATACTAGACATCAAATATAAAGTGATAAGTAGGCGTTAAGTATATAAGCAATAATAATAATAATAATAATAATAATAATAATAATAATAATAATAATAATAATAATAATAGCAAGACAGGGAATTTGTGTTAATAAGAGCAATGGAAATACGTCATAAGCCATACAAAAATATTCATATTAGATGAAAACACACATAAAAAGTGATGAAAGGAATCGAACAACTAAGATCATGAATGTAAAAGAAGTGTTGTCGGGACAAAAGAATAAATGGTGCAGGATTGAAAAAAAGCCAAGGTACATAACTATTACCTGAAGATCACTGAAAAATTGGTATAAATCAAAACTTTAAGTTTTTACAAAAAACGTACATATATCCTCAGAGGAACTGCAGCTACAAATGTTTCAGTACACGTTAGTACCAAAAGGACCAAAAAATGTTACTACAGGATGTTCTGACACCTGTACCTTAAAGTATCTATCAGCATTTTCTCGCATCATTTATTCAGTTTACTTGTATTACAAAGTGAGAGATGGTCTAACACGAACCATGAAAATTAGAGCTTTGAATTCATATCCATTTATTTTGATTACAGCAGTCAAGTAGTACACTTAGTTGTCACTCTCACAGTGAAATATGTATCTCACAGTCGAATCCATAAACCTTAGTTTGGGTACTCAATTACATTATTGAATTAAACTGTTTGAATCACACAATAAATTATCTAAACAACTACTGCACACAAACAAACAAAATTCTCATAACTTGAAACTGATCAGTAAATCACCACTATTATTTTGTAAATGACTGAACTGAGAGTTAATTTTGACAAATCACTAACCTGCAAACGCTTATTAATTTATCCAATTCACGACAAGAACACTGATAAAGATTGGCACAAGATAATTGACTCTGATTCATTAAATCTCCTAACAACTGCATATAATTATTTGAATTCATTTGTGAATCACTATTACTAAATATCTTTTTGCATATATTGTAAAATTTAAAAACCCGTTCAGCCTCAGAATATACATGTTCTGCACGATCTCTTAAATAAAAGTGGTTCACTAAATTTAAATGTAAATAAAAGTAATGAGTGAGATATGATAAAAAATAAACTGTTCATTTCGAAGAACTATTTCAATACACTTTACTTACTTATATTTACGCCTGTTACTCCTCATGAAGGAGCATAGGCCGCTCATCAGCATTCTCTATCCAACCCTGTCCTGGGCAATCCTTTCCAGTTTTCTCCAGTTGTTATTCATCCTTTTCATATCTGCTTCTATTTCCCGACGTAATGTGATCTCTGGCCTTCCTCTTTTCCGCTTCCCTTCAGCATTCCAAGTTACGGCTTGCCTCTTGATGCAGTTTAATGATTTGCGTAATGTATGTCCTATCCATTTCTATCGTCTTTTCCTAATTTCCTCTTCAACTGGAAGCTGGTTTGTTCTCTCCCACAAAAGGCTGTTGCCGATGGTATCCGGCCAATGGATGTTGAGTGTCTTGCGTAGACAGCTATTTATAAATACTTGTACTTTCTTGATGGTGGTTGTCGTAGTTCACCAAGTTTCAGCTCCGTACAGTAGGACTGTCTTGACGTTTGTATTGAAGATTCTGACTTTGATATTGGTTGAAAGTTGTTTTGAGTTCCATATGTTCTTCAACTGTAGGAATATGGCCCTTGCTTCGCCAATCCTTGCCTTCACGTTTGCATCTGATTCTCCTTGTTCATCGATGATGCTTCCTAGGTATGTGAAGGACTCTACATCTTCCAGAGTTTCGCCATCAAGAGTGATTGGATTGCTGTTCTCCGTGTTGTACCTGAGGACCTTGGTTTTCCCTTTGTGTATGCTGAGGCTTACTGATGCAGAGACTGCTGCTACACTGGCTGTCTTCATCTGCATCTGTTCGTGTGTACGTGATAGGAGGGCTAGGTCATCTGCGAAGTCCAAATCGTCTAATTGATTCTGAGCTGTCCATTTTATTCCGTGTTTTCTTTCAGATGTCGTGGTCTTCATAGTCCAGTCGACCACCAGAAGAAAGAGGAAGGGAGAGAGTAGACAGCCTTGTCTGACTCCGGTCCTTACTTGGAAGGCGTCTGTCAGCTGTCCTCCATGCACGACCTTGCACTGTAGTCCGTCGTATGAGTTCCGGATAATGTTGAAAATCTTCTCAGGAACTCCGTAGTGTCGAAGAAGTTTTCCATAATTTTCTCCTATCTACAATGTCAAACGCCTTTTCGTAGTCAATGAAGTTGATGTATAGTGACGAGTTTCACTTAACTGATTGTTCAACGATGATCGGTAGTGTTGCAATTTGGTCTGTGCACGACCGATCCTTACGGAATCCAGCTTGTTGATCTCGAAGTTGGGCGTCTACTGCATCTTTCATCCACTTCAGCAACACTCTGTTAAAAACTTTCCCTAGTATTGACAGTAGTGTGATGCCTCTGTAGTTTTCACATTTGCTCAGATCTCCTTTCTTTGGAATCTTGATGAGGTGTCCTTCTTTCCAGTCCATCGGCACTTGTTCCTCCCCCCAAATCTTTTTAAATAGAGGGTGAAGCATGTCTGTAGTTACTTCGATGTCTGACTTTCCCGCTCTTGATTTGTCTGATCGCTATTCTGATTTCTTCCGTCGTTGGTGGATTGACATCTATAGGAAGATCTATGTGTGCTGCTTCGATGTCCGGTGGATTCGTTGGAGCCGGCCTATTCAGGAGTTCCTCGAAGTATTCTACCCATCTGTCCCGCTGTTGTTGAATTTCGGTGATTAGCTTGCCTTCCTTGTTGTTCACCGGTCTTTCTGGTTTACTGTATTTCCCTGCTAGTTTCTTCGTTGTATCATAAAGTTGTTTCATATTTCCTTCTCTTGCAGCATTTTCCGCCGTCGTTGCTAGTTCTTCCACGTACTTCTTCTTGTCGGCTCTAATGCTCTTGTTCACTTGCTTGTTTGCTTCTATGTATTCAGCTTGTGCTTGGACTTTCTCTGTTCGTGTTCGGCTGTTGTTAATTGCTGTCTTCTTGTTCTTCCCTTCTTTGATCTTGTCCAGTGTTTCTATAGAGATCCATTCCTTATGATGATGCTTCTTGAGGCCCAGAACCTCTTGACACGTTGAAGTTAATGCTTCTTTGATACTTTTCCAGTTGTCCTCCATAGTAGTTTCTTCTTCCTTCAGTAGATCCTGTAAGGCTTGTTGTTGAGACCTATCTTGAATTCATTGAGATTTTTAGTATCTCGAAGGAAGGCTGTATTGAACCTTTGTAGTGCTGTTTGTCCACTTGTCCAGTTTTCCTTTAGCTTCAGTTTTAAATTGACCACAACTAAGTGCTGATCTGAAGCTATATCAGCTCCTCTCCTGGTTCTCACATCTTCTATTGTCCTTCGGAATTTTTTATTGATGCAAATTCGATCTAGTTGGTTCTCTGTAGTGTGGTCCGGTGAGATCCATGTAGCTTTGTGTATACGTTTGCGCGGAAATATTGTGCCTCCTATGACCAATTTGTTGAGTGCACACAGATTTGCAAATCTTTCTCCATTTTCGTTTCTCTCTTCCAGTCCATGTCGTCCTACAATATCTTCAAATTTGGTGTTGTCTATTCCGACTTTGGCAATTAGATCTCCCATTAGAATAATGAGGTCGTTTCTTGGGCACTTCTCTACGATTGACTGCAGCCGCTCGTAGAATTGATCTTTAATTTCGTCGTTGCTATCATTGGTGGGTGCATAACATTGGATAATATTCATTGTGATCCCCTCCTTCTTTGTTTTGAATGATGCTCTGATGATTCTGGATCCGTGAGATTCCCATCCTACAAGTGCATTTCGTGCTACTTTGGACAACATTAGAGCAACTCCCTGAGTGTGTGGAGAATTTTCCTCTTCGTGACCGGAGTATAGTAGCATCTCTCCCGTATTTAGCCTTTGTTGTCCAGCTTGGGTCCAATGGGTTTCGCTGATTCCCAGTACTGCCAAGTTGTATCTCATTTCCTTTGCTATTTGACTGGTCTTCCCGGCCGCCCACATTGTTCGGACGTTCCATGTACCTATAAAAATTGTTGCTCTGGTTGTTAGAAGGGGCATCGGCCTCATGGCTTCCGAAAGAACTCGGCTTTCACCATGAAGCGTCATAATTCTTCTAAATGAAGACCTTCTAACTTTCAGGGCAGAGTTTAAATGGTTTGAATAATTTTTCCTGGTAAGCGTTTTTTTAGCGAGTTAGTTTTCTACGGGATGGGGTCGCTAACCCCATGCCAACCCTTCTCCTTTACCCGGGCTTGGAACCGGCAGTTACTCTAGAAGAGCTACAGGCGGAGTTTTTTTTTAATATAACACCAAGAAAAAAATGTGCTAGGATATCATGATACAATTAAGTAGAACTTAATAACTAAGTAAACGTTTGCATACACTCCTTAGAGTAACACCTTGTTTGCTAAACCGAAGCATAAAAAGTGAGGTTGAAAATTGCTAGAGTCGTCGATATAGTTTCTTTGTTTTAGATTGAGACTGCTTGACAATGTAGACCGACGACTACACATGAGATCAAACCCAGGACCTCCACATTTCGAAGTGAGCGCTATGACACTAAAGAAAGTATTTAAAAGTCTATATGTGATGATGACCACCGCAAAAATTTTCACAACTATTCATAAAACGATGTAACTTGCTTATCAATTCTTGCGATTGTTGTTTCAAATGATAGCACCAATAACAAACAAATCAACCGCAAGTTTTACCGCTGTACCATTAGTTTAGATTTACTGCAAAAACGTTAAACTGTACAACCACTAATGATTATCTGACACTAAAAAGATTGAAAATTAAAATGTATTTTAGTTTATCGAAAAAGAAAAACTATATGACATTTGAAAAATAATAACCTAATGCATGTGAAACATACTTGTTTTAGTATTTTCTGTTAAGCACCCTTCAATAATTGGACTAGTCAAGCCTAAATTACAGAGATTTTCTCGACTAGTAATACCAGTTGGTAGATATCTAGTTACAATTGATAATCCATCCTTTTGAATGCGTATCATTTCATCAGGTGAAACTGCTTTCCACAACTTTTGTGCATCACTGAGACATAAGGGTGTAATGGATGAATAATTAGAAGGTTCAGTTATATGCGGGCTATTTCGAACTAATATCTAGAAAACAGAGCAGTTTTTTAAAAATAAAACTTAAGGATAATGAGGACAACTGTTTTTAATCCTCATGACATAATTCGAATAATTAAAAGAATCAGCCTAAAACATATCTTTATTTGTCTTTAAATAACGATTTGCGAAGTCATATAATCTGGTGTTAAAATAAATAAGATTGAAGAACAACATGTATCTCTGCTTGTTATGACGGGTGTGACTGCAGGTTTTGATAAGCAGCGTTTATTGATCGATTCAATGGACAGTGACACGTAATACACGTAAGGGACGACCTAGTGCCCTGATTGACCCTGCTCCGCTGTCTGTCCTAGCCAGTTGAGTCAAGAACACAAGCCACAGCCTCTGAGATATGAATCACTATATTTCAAACATACTTTGTTTATATACCAGTCAAGCATACCACAGCGTACCATAAAAGTAGAAAACAACATTTTGTACAAGTGAACAGATATCGACCAATAGGAAATTCCATTTAAAGTCCAAGGACACCATTGGACTTAATATGATAATTATTGGTCTATTCCTGCGCATCCACAACACTGCTTATAATGCTTGTGATTTAAAGTGATATCGACGAAATCCGCACAAAATGAACACATTAAGAGACTGATCAATCGAAGTCCTAAACATCAATGGGAAGATTCAAACAACTAATACAAAAACGAACATACAATATACTATTTAGAGTAATAGTGATAATAATGAGTTTATTATTCTGTGTAATACAGGTACGAAAGTTTTTGCTCTTTTAATAATTTAGATTTATGATTGCTCCTCGAAAAATATTTAATACTTGATGGCGCTGAATCATAGAACATCACCTGCTTTTCCTCTACTTATAACCTGAACCGTTTGACACAAGATACTTAATGTACGGAAATAGATGAATGACATTTTGTGCATATGGACTAGTGTCATAGGCGCAGTGAAACTAACTGCACTATAGATAGGTGAGTAAACCGAATTTCAGGGTTAATTAACATTTCTAATAAACCAATGCACCTTACAACTATGTACACATATACATACAAATATTACCGGTAAAGAAAAACAAACTGAAATTATAAATAAGACGATTCCTAGTACTGATTAGGTCTAAAAGGAACATTAAAGAAGAAACTACAAGGAATCTTTCTGTTTTTCTACTTAGGGTTTGTTTCTTACGTAAAAGCCATTAAGGTAGCTTAGATTTTATGAAATGCACAATATAATCTACATGTGTTGTTTTTACAATTTCAGACTACGTAAATCAAGAAACGGTGCCATTTATCATTTTTTTTCGAGGTTTTACAAGAAAGGTAAAGAAGAAAACAGATGTGTGCCAGTTATCCCATGCAGTTATTAGTGCTACTACTAATTCTACTACTACAACCACTGCTACTATCAGTAGTAGTGGTAGTGCACTACTAAAATGACCAGATGTATGTCTTGAAAATGAGAACAGAAGTTATCTGTTGTTAAATGCGGAGAAAACACGTGAACTATATATATATATATATATATATATATATATATATATATATATATATATATATATATATATATATATATATAGTCATTGTGTACAAAGTCAACCATAAATTAATTCTGATGAACGATAAAGATAGATTATGTTACGAACACATGGTATTAAAATTAACAGACAATTCCTTCGCATTTATAAATGTATCCTTGTACATTTTAAAAGATAAAAACAATACCTAATCTCAGAAAATAATAATAATTACCTCCGAAGTACCAAGAAAATGCAACCAAGATCATTACCAGTATACTATCTATATATCTGTTTGTCTGAAATATAAATCTTATGGTATAGGATGGATTATAAGAGTTGACCTCTACCATAAAAATAACAAATTTACGAGTATATATTGATAGTTCCACGTTGAATATTATAGTGGAGGTGAGGGAGTTTAATGAATATAAACACCTATCTATTCTCGGGTTATTATTGAGGTAATTTTGAATTCGTCTTACATTTTAGGTATCCTTATATATCATGAGTGTTTTATCTGACAGCTGACAGGATTGTTTGTCAGTCATACATGCCGTTAGATGGCTGACTTTCTATGTTATTTATAGATGACTCGAGTAAGGTTGAAATTATATTTCGATCTTTGTAATTTAATTACTAGGTTATATGAAATTATTTTTCAAAATATATAAGACGATATTACTTTTTTAGCGATCCCGTGGAATTAACTACATTTCTAAAAGAACTTTAGTCAACCATTAATCTATATGACTAGAGATAAGTACGCGAACTATGTCAGTTAGTTACAATTAACATAAATCTTGATGCACATAAGTGTCGCCACAAAGTGCCCTACCACATCAAGATGAGATGAAGTCGATAAGATGAATATTAGTAGGGTCTATTTTACAGTACCATTGTGATGTGTGCTACTTATATTGACGTAAGTAGTATATGATGTTAGTCGTGGAAAGAAGGTCTGGCAGCAGAGAGACAAGAGGATCGAACAGTAAAGAATGGAAACAGGATGCAATTTGTATGAAAATCCAAGAGTCATTTTGAGACAATTGATGGACATTTTGCAAATTAAGCATTTACTTTATGATTGTTAGATTTTATTAACAAGTCCTGTAATTTTGTTTTAAATACATTCGATTGTCCCAACCCGTGTCCTGTTCACTACACCATCAGTGAAAGTGAGAAAGACCAAACATTAATAGATTAGTAGATTAGTAAAATGAAAAACTAGATAATACTTGAAGCAAGATAAAGAACGAACACATCGACAAAATGTCATCTTATGTGGACTCCGACCACGTAGTGTGCATCTACCAATACACCTCAATCCCACAATCAATGGCATCATGGACCGATGCCATGATATATAAAATATGATTAACTCACCTAACACAATATAACTGAACGACGAAGTACAAAGTTATGTGTGTGCCTTCGAGCCATACGCATCAGGTGAAGGCTCTTAATACCACTTAATCATACAGATCAAACATGTGACGGGATTCTAGCATGCAAACAAACGGTTAAAAACTAAGTGCACTAATTACTAAACCATAGCACGAATCAAATTTAATGTTCACCATAGTCTGTGTGTAGTAATTGTTGGGATTTGGATAGAAGAACATTGTAACCTAAAAATATCTAAAGCTTCATGCACATAAGCCAAGAAAAGACTTTTTTCAAGTATCAGATTATTAAACATCGCAACTGTAAGCTTACTTTAGCAGCTAATCGACATTCTGCCACACGTTCGTTATAATATGATGTAGCAGCTTTGCGAGCGTGTACACCCGAATGAGCTATCACAAAAACCATATCAGACGGTAATTGAATAGGACTGACTGTGACAAATGGTTTGGTAAACTCAATCATTAAAGCCTACAAGGAAATAATATATTAGAAAAAAAGAATAAGTAAGCAAGGCACTAGGGAATAAAAAAGTTTTATTTTGATTTGTTTTGATATTATTCAATAAATAGGCAAAAATCAATGATCTTACATTATTTTCAACTGCAAGAACACTTGCAGCTTGATCCATTCCACCACCTTGTATACCAATATATTGCTCACATTTCGCACATAAACTTGCTAATTCATGCTGGAGAGGAAAATTGAAATCAGAGAAAACTTTGAAGATCTAACTACAACGAAATCGCTAAGTATTGACACAAACAAATAATTTAATTTAAAAAAATTTAATCGCAAGATTATTTACATAACAAATGACTATTAATGAAAGATACATTGAAAAGTGCGGCAGCAATGATTAACTTTTTAATTGCATTATAAGGTAGATAAGTAGTAAACGTACTTGCTACTTACATATATAAAAGACATGCTGTCATTTAACCGCCGCATCGCAATATTTCAGTCAACATTTTTCATCAAACTTCATTTGATCCAGATTATAGTGTGAACTTTCAGAGAATTCAAAAGATATTATGACTTAAACTAATAAAGATAATTACCAACTACTTTATGAATTTTCGAATTGTACTTCAAACGTTTTGAATTCAAGGTATGTGACAATAAATAAATAAATTGTTTCCGATTACTACTCATTTTCTTGATGTCTCCCTACACTTCCTGGCGCAATGTGTCCCTTGGTCTTGGTTTTTCCCGACTTCCTTCAGGATTCCAAGTTAGTGCTTGCCTCATGATACAGTTTGATGATTTCCACAATGTATGCTCAATCCACCTCCAACGTCTTTTCCTAATTTCCTCATCAGTTGGAAGCTGGTTTGTCCTCTGTCACAGTAGGTTGTTGCTGATGGTATTCGGCCAACAGACATTGAGTATCTTACGTAGACAATTGTTTATAAATAATTGTACCATTTTGATGATGGTTGTGGTAGTTCTCTGAGTTTCAGCTCCGTACAATATAACTAACTGTTTTGACGTTCGTACTGAAGATTCTGAGTTTGATATTGGTTGCCAGTTGTTTCGAGTTCCATGTGTTCTTCAGTCGTACGAATGCTCCGCTTGCTTTACCAATCCATGCTTTCATATCTGCATCAGATCCCCCTTGTTTATCAATAACGCTCCCAGGTATGTTAAAAGTTTCCATATCTTCCAGAGCATCTCCATCAATTGTAGTTTGGCTGGTGCTCGTTGTGTTATATTTCAGGATCTTCTTGCCTTGTGAATGTTGAGGCCTATTGCTCCAGAGGCTGCTACTACACTGTTTGCCTTCACCTGCATTCGTTTCTGTATACGGGATAGAAGATTTAAGTGATCCACAAAGTCTAGATTGTTTAGTTGCGTCCGAGGTTTCTATGCTTTCTCTCAGATGTGGAAGTCTTCTTAATCCAGTCAACCACCAGATGAAATGGAAAAGGCGAGAGCAAGCAAGCAGCCTTGTCTAATACCGATCTTCACTTACAATGAATCTGTGAGTTGTCCTTCATGCACCACTTTGTAGTGTAGCCGTCGTAAGAATTCCATATGGTGGTGAAGATCTTGTCAAGTACACCACAGTGTCGAAGAGGGTTGTATAACGTCCCCCTATCGGCGCTTCAACCACTGCCTCATAGTCAGGGAAGTTGGTGTATAGTGATGATTTCCATCCAATTGATGGTCAAAAATGATCCGTAGTGTCACAATTTGGACTGTGTGATGCGGTATCCTTCTTTCCGGTCTGTCGACACTTGCTCTTAATCCCAAATGTTTCTGATTAAAACGTGGAGCATCTTTACAGTTGCTTCTACGTCTGACTTCAGTACTTCAGCTGTTATGTTGTCGAGTTCTGCTGCTTCCCTACTCTTAATTTGTCTGGTCATCCTCATTTCTTCGATCGTTGTTGGGATGACATCTCTAGGGAGATCCGTGTGTGCTGCTTCGATGTCCGGTGCGTTCAGTGTGGCTGGCCTATTCAAGGGTCCCTCGAAGTATTCTACCCATCTGTTCTCGAATCTCAGTGATTCTCTTGCTTTTTTTGTTCCTGCTTGGTCTCTGTGGTTTACTATAGTTCCCTGACAGTTTCTTCGTTGTGTCACATAGCTGTTTCTGGTTTACCATATTCCCATGAAAGCTTCTTCGTTGCATTATATGGTTGTTGCATATTTCCTTCTCTCGTAGCTTTTTCTGCTGGCGTTTCTAGGTCTTAAACGTATTAATGTTTGTCAGCTCCGATGCGCCTCTTCACTTGCTTGTTTGCTTCTGTGTATTTAGAGTATGCCTTGAATTTCTCTGCTCTTGCTCGGCTGTTGTTAATTGCTGTCTTCTTGTTCTTCCTTTCTTGAATCTTGTCCAGGGTTCCCATGGAGATCTATTCCTTATAATGTTGCTTCTTGCGGCCCAGCACATTTTGACACGTTGGGGTTAGTGTTGCATTAATCCATCTCAAGTTGTCCTCCATAGTAGTTTCATCTTTGAGTAGATCTTGTGAGGCTTGGAACTTTTTGTTGAGAGCTATCTTGAATTCCTTGAGTTTGTCAGTATGTCGAGGCAATTGAATTGAACTTTTGTAATGCTGATTCTCCAGTTGTCCAATATTTCTTTGGCTTCATTTTCATCTTTGCAGCCACCAGTTGGTGGTGATATGAAGCTATGTCAACTCCTCTCCTGGTTCTCACGTCTTCGATTGACATTCTGAATGTTTTGTGATACAGATATGATCGATGAGGTTCTCTGTAGTGTGGTCCGGTGAGATCCACATAGCTTTGTGTATGCGTTTGTGTGGGAATATTGTGACGCTCATAACCATTTTGTTGAATGCACGTGGGTCTGCAAATATGTCACCATTCTCATTTCTTCCTCCCAGTCCTTGTCATCCCATGATACCTTCATATTCGGCGTTGTCCACGATCTTTGATCCATGAGATTATCACCCTACAAGTGCTTCACGTGCTTCTTTAGACCGCATCAGTGCAACTCCTCGGGTGTGAGAACAGCAGCATCTCTCCCGAAGCTAGTCTTTCCTGTCCAGCTTGGGTTCAATTGGTTTCAATTAATCTAAAGACCGCCAAATTGTATTTCCTCATTTCCGCAGCTATTTAAGTTGTCCTCCCAGTCTCCTACATTGTTCGGACATTTCATGTTCCTACATTAATTGTCGTCGAAAAGGGATCGGCCTCGTGATTTTCGAATAATCTTGGCTATTACCATGAGGCGTCATAATTGTTCAACTTCCATGGCAGAACTTAAATGGTTTGAGCATTTTTAGCAAGGTGTTTTTCAACAGGATGTGGTTGCCGACCCCATGCTCAACCTTCCTCCTTTATCCAGGCTTGGGACCGGGAGTAACCACAGAAAGGCTACAGACGGAGTTTTATTATATCGAACAAATCTATTGTTATCGCTACCATTACATATGTAGAAAGCAGTAAATTCTAGTTGTTTTAGGGAAAAAGGAAAATAATCGTAGACATAATATTTAAGATGGAAGCACAAAAGAATACTTTGTTCTCTTTATTTACAACTTTTCTACTTTCCACTTACTCTACTTATTTGTAAACCAGATATTCGCATAATTGCTATGGCAGAAGCAACTACGAAAGCGCTACTGCTTGAAAGACCAGCAGCTGGCCATAAACCACCATATTCAACATCACCAACTAGTACATTTAGACTAGGAGGAGTCCAATCCTATTAAAAATTAAACAATGAATAAGATTTTCAATTCACAATTCAAAAATGTATCCAGTCTGTAAGAGTAAATCAACGAAAACTATGATAAGAACTCACTAATTAACTAGACAGCACAATAGCACAACCGCATAAACGTGTTGTCAATAACTCACTTTGTTTAAATTTTCGACAAAACTATCATGTTGTCATAACTACACTCTAACCATTTAGGCAATAGTATTCGCTTCACTTCCACCGAAGTTGACTGATTAACATCCCTGTATTTTGTTCCTTTTACCTTACATTAGATTAGATTATATTAATCTAGAAAAATGATACTAATCAGACCTCGGAAAAACCACATGGTTTAAAATAAGCACGTTATGAAGAATGTGTCAAAAAATACTTGAAATTAGGCGGCCTTCATCTTGTATTGAATCAAGTGCTTCTTTGGTCTAAATGTTACAAACTCACCATGCACAGCAAGAACAAAAGAGTTTTTCTAAATGTGATGATTTAACGCAGAGGATAGTGAATCAGTTACACGTACAGCCAACATTAGTAGTCGACAAAAGTGAACGGAAATAGGTTAATATAATGCCACAACAGAATGTCCTTTGTGTGAATAAACAGTAAGTGAGTGAAATTAAGAGAAAATTTAGTTTTTAAGAACATTTAAACAGTGGCAGTAGAATTCAAATATTATCATAACCTCCGTGTCTAAAACTTTAAAAGTTAGTCTGCCGATCTGATGTACTAACTTAGAACAATTAATTACATTAACATTTGGAAGGATATGACTGAAATTTCTACTACGACCACTGTTATTGAATTTCTTATCAGATGATCAGTTTACACCCATACTATATAATTGAGCAGTGAAGTATTACCACAAGCCCTTACACAATAGGTTTAGCTTTTAGAGGCTTACATAAGCTTGTTATGGATAATGATGACCTGAAATGTTGAAACAAAGCTGACAAGAGATGTGCTGTCATTAGAAAAAGACAAACGGATATATTAACGTACCAAATTCAACTTGTCTACATAGTCTTTTATTCCTCGATACGCGCACTGAAAATAATGAAACCACTCAGGCGAGTCAGGCGATCCTTCGCAACCAAATGTTATGGCTTCTGTAATCGGAATTTTAATAGGCCTATATTGGGTACAAGGATTGAGGAATAGAATATTTCAACTGCAAACGTTAGTTAGAACTGTGTGAAAACACCGTAATTTTAAACTTAGTCTGTGAAATAATTTGTTCACGCGTTTTCACATAAACACTATTAGTCTTTAGTGTGCATATAACAGTGGGCTTATGGAGAAATGGGAGTTTATAAACGGTGTAGATACTTCACTGTAGTATAATCCCAAACATAGTTTTGTTAGGCAAACAGACAAGTAAATAAGCGCTCAACCCAAGAAAATAATGGATCGATGCAAATATATGTATTTCATGCGCACAAACTCAGTGAAAATCAACATACTGAAGACATAATGAAAAACAAGAGCAATAAGACGAAATGGAAAAACTGTAAGGAACAAGTTAAATCGAATGGAAGTGTTATATCCAGACGAAGAATAAGTGAATAGTAAACGCTAGGATCTATTTATGGACTGTTATTACATAATATTATTATTACTGTTTAACTAATGAGTAACTATGTTTTATGTATATTCATATTCCTTTTATTATAAGCTTCCATTTCACTATTATTATACGATTTACTATTATTAGATTGTTCCCAGTTTATTATTACAGTGAACGTTTGAAGCTCAGGTGGATGGTTTTGATGTAGTAATATTCTCTGAGCTGGATGGTTTGGTCGTGGAGCTTTCATCGTTATTCTGAACGACATCATCAGCAGCATAAAATTCAGGTAGAAGTGAAGTGTTCGAATTTATCCATATTTGGCTCATAGCTTGTCCTGTAGACCTCGGTCTTGATTGGTTATTGTTCACCCTTAACCTTTCATTGTTTACCTCTTTATTTTGATTATATCGGCCACTGATTCTATTCCGATATATTTGAGTCTCCAGTTTTCTTGTGTTGGTTCTGGTCCTATATTTGCCCATAATTTTTCTGATTGACTGGTAAATTGGATGGATTTCAATGTGTTTGTTGATGGCTGATTAACCTGAGTGCCAAGCTTCTAAAATTCTCTAGTGTTCTTAGAATTGCCTCTATGCAAGATCTCAGCGTTTTCCCAGTCGAATGTCCGTCCACAGTTGTCCAAAAGCATTGATATAAGCGAGGATGTGTCATGGCGTTTGACCGCTAATTGATGTTCATGCAGGCAAAGATGAAGGTGACCTCCGCTTTGTTCGATTTAGTGTTTTTCGCAGTTAAAACTATTTATTTTGCAGATGATGTTCGGTTTTTCTTCTTTTGTCCTTTCTTCCTTTGATTTGTGTAGGATTGATTGAAGTGATTTTGTTGGTTTGTGTACCACACCTATTCCAAAAGGCTCCAACAATGTCGCTACAATTCTTGATATGCCTTTTACATATGGTAGGATGATCCATTTGTTGGTTCCTATACTTGATTTTGTTTCTACTGAGGCGTTTTGTTGGTATTTTTTGATGAAGTTGATTGAATAGTCGTTTTATTGGGAGATTGCCTTCAGATATTTATTTCCATTTTTCTGCGCTGCAAGTGTGTTGTAGTGTGTCCTCGCCCTCCTAAACGAAGTTCGTACGCAGTTGATTTTGTGGGCTCTACTGCCGTTGTTACTGTAACTGAAAATTTGATCTGTGTGGAGACTCAAGTATATCGGAAGCCGTCCATCTCACAGAACAAAACTCCATCAAAATTATAGTATCTCACACTCACAGCCACTTTGGACCTGCTCTTGTATAATTGTTATTTTCTATTTTATAGTAAAATCCGGTCCGATTTGCTTGTAAATAAACTGCGTGTCTCTGAAATACATGATTCATGTGGCGGAGGCTGATATTGGTGTTCTGAACTGAACCGTCTGGAGAGAAGCTAATATCTCGGAGGTCCAATACGAACTCACAGCTGACCCTAGGTTGTCCGTACTGGTGTTGTTGGGGATGTTAGATCCCCAGACCTCACTTGGTAAATACCTTAATTTTATAATTTTATGTTGGGAATTTAAATTTTCTTGTTTTCGCGCCAAAAGCGCACTTTTCACTTTCATGTCGTATTTCCCACTTGGGAGAATCTTTAACGCTATTGAACAGTTGTGTATTTTTAGTACGCTATTTTTGCTACGATTCCCAAGGACAGTTTTATGCTGTATATATACGTTTGATTTGTGCCTGTTATTATTCACTCGTGTTTCTGGCTTACGGAATATACTTACCCGTTCCAAGCTTGGACTTCTTCCTCTAGTTAGCGGGGCTGGGACGCATCAAATAGCTAGCTTATTGGTCTACGGTCACAAGTCTTTGTTCCGTTCGCATACTAAGTGAACTCGTAATAGCTTCAAACCTAGCAGGTTTATGTGCCATCGGTTCGGTCAATAAGTCGGTGTTTTTATTGGCGATGGTATAACATAATAACTGACAAGCCACAACAACAAAAAATGAGCAAAAATTAATGAATATTAAGAGTAACTAGAGACAAGGGTTGTTTGATAAACACGAAGGCCTACAAAATAAATATATCCTTCAATCCATTACGACATCCGCCAATTTCTTTTTACACGCCTAATATTTTGTACATAAAGGTATTGTTTCGCTAAAGAACAAAAACATTCTGTTGGATAGCTCTTTTGTTCCAAATATCAGTTTATTAGAGGCATCTTGTTGATTATTCGGTCTCATAAACACGATTTCATGATTGTTTATCATGTACTGAAATGATCTTATCCATCATAATAACAATATCAAAACACACTTCACATAATGCACTCACCCATTACAATGACATCAAATAATTTTATACACTAGCATATGCTACTTATAATCTTTTAGTAGTTGGAAATCCAAAATAAAACATTTTAAGGCATAATTTCGAAAACAATGACAGTATATATATATATATATATATATATATATATATATATATATATATATATATATATATATATATATATATATATATATATATAACGAAAGTTTAACGATTAATTGCTGTGTACAATGAATGGTCTAACCATCTAAAACGATAAATCTCAAGCTGAGAGTAAATAGATTTCTTTCTAGTAAACCAAAACAACCTGTAAACTTCAACACTTAATTTCCTTTACAATTGATTGATCACTGGTGACCAATGTCATCTATGTCAGGTCCTTCCTAGTGCAGATCGAATCCTATTGACCAAGTTGCAATGTGGCCACCTATCTAGGTTACTCGACATTTAGTGCACTATGTTGATATAAGATGGTGGTTGGAGGTAGTCAACAGGAAACCCTGGGCCTAGGTTTCGTGCTAATTGGCACTCATCACCAAGGTGTTTCTGTAATCCTAAGGGAAATGATGCTTACAGACGAATTTGATCCCGTGTCACCCATATTCACCGTCAGAGACGTTACCAGTGAGCTATCCGGGCCGTGACTGACTTCCTGTAGGACTGAGATGTATTTACAACTGATTGATCACTGGGTGGTGATCAATTTCATGTATGTCAGGTCCTTCTTATTTTCTAGTACCACAGAGCAGCACAGAAGCAGAATTAAAATGATGACCAAAACTACCTGTATTGAGCATCTGTGCTTCTAAGAACGATCCTATCCAAATCAGATCCAGATGTTGGACCTACAGACATATAAACTGCTTGTTCTAACGCCATCGGTAGTACAGGATAACCATTATAATCAATATGTTCACCTGGTTATTAAAAGAAACAAAAACAAAGGCATAAAGCAAACTTATTACAAAATGTCTAAAAACATAATTAATGATCAATAGCATTTAGTAATCGGAAATTTACTTGTTTACTAAAGAAAATAGCCACCATAATTATTCAGAGTTGATTTCTTTTTATAATGTTTTAGAAAATCGAAACGAGATTTCATTGTGACCAGCCAATGATAGATATCAAGTGTAACCCACGATCACAATATATGTATTTGAGACGTAGAAGTAAAAATGAATGGAGTCAGTATAAAATGAAGTCAAGAACTACGAAATTAAATTAAAAAAGGAATCTAGAAAAGAACTTGGTTACTACGTAAGCTTTAAAGGAAAATATCTGTCCTCCATGCTTCAAACCCAGTGAACTTACAATGATTACAAAAAATAATAATAAGTTTTTCACTGTGATGGTGAGAGGTATATTGTGGTGCGCGCTGCTTATATTGATATAAGTAGTATATGACGCGAGTCAGCAATGTAATGTCTGGCAGCAGAAGATGGGGGAAGATCAAGAAAGGAAGAGCGGGAATAGAATGCAATCTGCATGAAAATGCAAGGACAATAAAGCCTGAGGCATTTTGAAACAACTGGTGGACATTTTGCAAATCAACGATTTGATATATGGTTCTCAGATTTTATTGAGATGCTCTGTAATTCTGTGTTAAATATACGCGATTGTCACCACCCGTGTTCTTGTTCACTACAACACAATTAAGAGGCGTATAATTAAGACTCATTTTCTACTCCAGTTATATAAAAAAAGACAATTTTGTGGATATTTGATGAGTACTGATCATTAACAAATTGCACACAGAATAAAAATTCTTTTTGATCAACTTTAAGCTTGTTTTAATTTCTTTATCACTTATATTTGTTTATTTCAATATTTTGAATCAACTCAACTTCTACAGCTAACCAAATTATTTTCAGTCATTTGAACGTAAAAAAAAGAAAGTCTGATATTAAAGGCCAAAAACACAAAATAAATAAATAATACTTTCAATTGATTGTTAATCTGACAATGCACATTCTGTATTGTCACTCAATGTTAGCAAATACAGTTAAACCTTAAAACTTCAATCACGTAACATTAACAAATAGACTCATCCTATTCTGACTTATTTATTCTAAGTGATTTGTAAGATAAGTGTCACATTAGGAAAGGCAAATAAGATGAATATCAGTAACACATTAAATCTTCAATACCACAGGACATAATTTATGAACTTTCATCATAATAGATGGTTTTCCATACATTAAAGAAAAGTACCTGAAACAAGTCATCAATACCAATAACTAAATAACTACAAATAGTAAGATTTGTTGCAAGCTTATCAAAACTGAGATCACTATTATTACCTAATATATTTCTCGAAGTTTTCCATCGTAAGCGGAAAAACTTCACATACGTTTAACAATGAGATCCAGTTAAAAGTGAAAGGTATGGAATATTCACAGATGTAACGATCGGGAGCTGGAGTTCATTCATATAGGCTTTAACAAACTAAATAACATTGTACGTCAGGCAACTAGTGGTAGGTGTAAATAAAGAACTTTCACAGATGATCCTAACAATTGTCAAATAAAACCACAGGAGAAAATGACGTTCGAAATTTCGGACAAGTCAAACATTATTTTACAAAAATTACGCCTCATAAAGGAACAAACAACTTGAGTACAAAAACCTTCTCCCGTAATACTAGTTAGTGAGACAATGATATCTGGTTGCACTATGTTTATTTAAAATTTATTGAAACTACAAAAGTTACTTTAGAAGTGTTCGAATACAATTTATGTGTGCAGCTTATTTGCGAAAAAACCAAGACCACAAAGTTGCCAGACTGAAATCGGAAGTTGCTGATTAGCAAGAAAGTATTGTTTAAAATCATATGTTGCTAAAACCAGACATGAGACCATAAAATATAATGTAGGCAAAAAAATGAATCAAATTCGAATATTTGAAAGTCTGCTGACCTAACTAAGCCATTCATATCTTAAGAATACCTAACGAAAGCTTAATTAAAGTCAAATAACTGATGTTCACCAATGAGCCTTACTTGAGAAGGGCTCTACAAGTTATTATTTGCTATTATGTATACACGCTTTTTTCTTCAAATTCTGCTTTGCTGAAACGCTCGGATTATGATATTTAGTCAACTATTTGCTGTGCTACTGTATGTTTCTAACATCCTAACTATTATTTTCAGATTTCAAATAGCGTATCATCTCTAAACCAATATTTATGAAGAATAACGCTAAACAAAAAAAGTTGGAAGAATCCAAACCTCCTTACAACAGTAAATGCTAATGGATTGTTATCATAGTATATAGTTAACTCTTCATCCAATATAACCACCAAGTGGTTGAAGTGAGCATTCTATACCTCCTTCTAAATGGACATAAATATGTCTAAAATGCAAATTGTTAACTTACCAATAAGATTTACTCGACCAGGAGCTCGAACTACAAAACTGCATTCTGTACCAAAAGTGTGATGAAATTCATTAGATAACTTAATGGCGATATCGGTTGATTTATATTCAGGAATGAAATCACCATCACTCATTTTCAACCTTTGGAACACATAGAAAGGCAAGATATCTTTATTATTACGAAATATAATTTTGAGAAAGCTTTATAGTTTGTTTTTAATCTCTGTAAAAGATTATTTCTTTATTTATTTGAACACATAAATATTGGTACAAGGGGGCACCAAATATATATACGCCACACAAAACAATGAGAATGGGGAGAAAAAAAGGCAAGGAGTGTAAAAGAAAAAAAAGAGGAAGAGGAACAATAACGACCAGATTAATGTAAGGAAGTGTATTAATAAGAATAATAACAATAATAATAATAATAACAATAATGGGGGAAACGGAAAGGTAGAACCGGAAGAAATCTTTCAGTTAAGGAAGATACAACCACGTTTTATGAAGAAAGTAAAAGAAGGTTACAGCAGGATCGCCACTGGCTTCTATTCTGAGCCATATCTGATAACGTCTCTAGCCACTGTGTTGCACCATCTCTAGCACCCCAACTATGAAGTCGTGAAGGACAAACACAAGCCAGTCCTTTGCAGCTTTCTTTCATACCACGACACCATGTCATATACTGACCACCTCTCCGCTTTTCCCAACCAGTTCCAGTGTCGGCAAATAATGCACGACGTGGAATTCTTTGTGACGACATTCGTAGAACATGTCCAAGCCACCGAAGTCGGTGTTTCAAGATGATGACACCAATTGAATTATCATCTCTGTGCCCGAACACACGATGCCGAACCTCTGCATTACTGACATGGTGTTGCCACTGAATGTCAGCAATCCTTCGGAGACAGCGATGATCGAACACAGAGAGTCGTCTAACGTCCTCAACTCGGAGACCAGGTTTCACAAGTATAGAGCAAAACTGCTCTCACCGACGCGTTGTAGATCCGACATTTTACAACCAGACTAACATCACGAAGGCGCCAAAGGTGGCCGAGATTGGCATAAACCGCCCTGGCTTTCACTATATGTGGATTGATCTCATCACTCACACCACCACCAGCACTTATGCAGTTACCCAAATACACAAACTTATCGACTACTTCTATCTGCTCACTATACAGGGTGAGTACAGGATCAGCGTCCTGCCAGTCTTGTAAAAGTACTCTGCACATACCGTACCTACGGACATTGATTGCCAACTGATCAAATGCGGATTGCATGCCTTGGGCATAATCACACAGTAAGACAATATCATACACATACTCAAGGTCGAGAAGTCTTTCTCCAGGCAACAGATCCACACCGCCATTACTTACATCCATCAGACCTGTTTCCAGAATGTCGTCGATGGCAAAGTTGAAGAGGAATGGTGAGATTGGGCAACCCTGCCTAACCCCACTGCTTGAATGGAACAATGGAGAAAGGTGGTTGTATGCCCTCACTCTGCCTAAGGTGTTTGTATATAGGGCTTTTAGGATGTTAATAAACTTCTCAGGCACACCCTTCTTCAATAGACAATCCCAGAGAACAGTCCTATCCAACGAATCGAAGGCAGCCCTGATGTCAAGAAACACTACGATTGTTGACCTTTGATGAGTATGACGGTGTTCTAACATTTGGCGGAGGGTGAAGATATGATCAATACATCCTCGACCAGAACGAAAATCAGCCTGCTCCTCGCGAGTCAATCTTTCTCGGGTTTTGAACAACCTACGAAATATGACGGAAGCCAATAGCTTGGACGCAATCGGAAGTAGACTTATCCCCCGATAGTTGTTACAGGTATGACGTGAACCCGTTTTAAAGATAGGGACAACTATCGACTCATTCCATGACGTTGGTACACTCTCTAGTTCCCAGACCTTTGTAAACAACGTTGTCAGTTCCCTAGCCAGAAAATCACCACCGTCTTTAAAAAGAGCCGGAGGTAAGTCATCTGGGCCTAGTGATTTGTAGCGCCTCAAGAGTTGGAGTTCCTTGCGGAATTCCGCCTCATTTGGTGGATCGGTCGTCACCGACCATGGAGGGCAGGACAGTCTGACCAATGTTGCAGGAGCAGCAGGCCAGTTGGACTGCCCTTCGAAGAATTCAACCCATCTTCCAAGACGTCGATGGATGTTGGTGATTGGCATCCCATCATCCTCGCAGATTGTTTCACTCACACCAGACTTCTTGCTGCCAGTGGCTCGGATGAGTTGGAAGAGCTTCCGGTAGTTACCAGATGCAGCTGCTGCTTCCAACTCATTAGCACGCTCCGACCACCAGGCTTCTTGGTCGTTACGCAAGCTTTGCCCAATTTCCTTACGTAACATCCTTCGTTTATGGTCAAACTCACGGTTACCCGGAGTAGACCGACGGGCTTCAATGAGTTGTGAGGAACCAGAAGAAACCCAGTGCTTATAAGCGGGACGTTTCGCGAAGCCGCAAGAGGCTTTACTCGCCATTTTCATGACGTCGTGAATTTGCAACCAATGCTCGTCTATACATTTCGCTGGATTGGTAGCTAGCCTAGAAGCTAGCTCAGTTTGATACTTACTAGCAACAGAAGTAGCAACCAACTTGCTGACATCAATCCTTTGGTGGCGGTCACTTCGTTGTCCACTGAAAAGTAAGGTAAGATTGGCGCAGACCAAAGTATGGTCAGAGTCCAGATAGGTACTCCAAAGGGAGCGGCAGTCTTGTACACAACCACGCCAGCGGTTGCTGATCGCGATGTGATCAATCTGAGTCCAGGCTTGAGATGCAGAGGTAGGACGCCAGGTGGCACATCGGCGATGACTGTGCCGAAAGTTAGTGCTGGCCAGAAACAGGTTGTGGTCTGTGCATAGTTGCAGTAGACGGTCCCCGTTATCTGACCTGCGACCAACAAGTCCCCATCGGCCACCTAAACGATTCTCTTCTGTGCCTAGACGCCCAACCTGAGAATTCAAGTCTCCGGCTAGTACTGCAATATCTGTCGAACGCACTTTCTGGAGAAGAACAGTTAACTGGTGGTAGGATTCATCCTTCATTGCATCCGGGCTGCAATCTGTCGGGACATAAGCGGAGGTGACGAAAAGACATCGTTTCTCACGCCGATTTCTTCTCACTTTGACGGAACTTTCTAATCTAACGGCACATAACCGACTGTTAATGGGAATCCAATCCCCATCTGTAAAAGATATTCGAACTAATAAGCTGAAAGTTACAACAAACTAAGGGAATTTCAAAACTGGATAATACTAGATTATTTAGATCGTTAATGCCGTTCATCTAGTTGTCTTTACCTTGATGTCCCAATGTAGCATAACAAATTCGGCTAACGTATATTGATTTATTGCTCGCTGATAACGAGTAACAAACGTAATCCTCATATCACTAAAAGAGTTAATATTGTTTATTCAAAACCTGGAAAATTAGTAAAATTTAGGCATCATCAGTCCTGGACGAATATGTGTACTAGGCTATGAGGCGTTTAAATTGTATTACTGAAACCTTAACTGTTACCAGAATTTCGGAAATCGGAAAAAGGTTGTACCTTAGACCAACTGGTTGTGATTTGAGTGTCTAGATTTATTACTTAGGTGAAGAAATGAGGATACCAGTTTCGAAAACATCCTAACAAAAGCTTGTAAAAAACAGCTTTAGAAGGATAGGTAAATACCCATCAAATACCTGATTAGCTAAACGCTGTAAACTTTTATCGAACTAAGTTGTCACTATAGACGGTAATATACAAAGAAGTTCATAAAAAGAAATTTACATAAGGGAAGGAAATTATTTCGGATGTTTATATGACTAACTGGCAACCTAATAAGCCAACACAAACACTATCCCTATGTTATATTTATTCGATCATAAGAAATTTTATCATCAAAAGGCAAAACACAGTGTATAACATTCAGACCTATAATCAAACCATAGTTGAAAATTACATACTACTGGCGACGCTAGCAATACAGCATTCGACTACCATAAATAACAGATAATTTTGGTGAACATAGTAAGAGTAGTGTCAATAAGTCCTTTTATATCAGTGAATGGGATGAGAACGATGCAAGAAAACGCTATTTATAAAGCTGTTTCTTTCAGACTATCCTAGACTGTATAAGTAAACTAACAGAATTTCCAGTTATGTTCAACATAGTGGGTAGAAACATACCAAATGATGCGATGTGACAAACGTTAGAATTAACGGAAAAACAAGGACTTAAAACTCTTGTTTATGCATCTTGGACGGTTGGTAGCAAACGGTAACTAAGCGACTTAATGGCTAATGTAATATTGTATCTTAGTGACAAAGTTCAGTTATAGGACTTTGGTGGTACACAAATGTCGTTTTGAAACTCATGTCCCGCCAAATAGGTTAGACTCTCAGACGTATCCACGGCTTGATAGAGCTACTTCTCAAATTCACCTATTATAATAACACGTCCTTCCATATAGGCATTCCGGTTGTATTTGTAAGGCGCGAAACCCAGATCCGATCATTTATCTAGGTTTATCTAGCCAGCGATAAGTTTCAACCAATAACCCAATAATAGACCGATATATAGTGAAACTATGTACATAGTTTCCGCATACGATTGGAATACAATTGTCGGAAATTGACAACAAAAGTCTCTAAATATTTGATTATTATTGTACCGGTGGTACTAAGTGCAGCTGACCGGAGAAAACAGCCGAATAACGTTCAATTAGGGCAATAGATTCTGTTTATACGATTATGAGTTTGGATCAGTTGTGTCTGAAACACTTAAAAATCACTGAGTAGTAGTTTGAAGAACATAAATACACCTGAACTAGTTACCCATGACGTTTTGAGATGATGGTAATCACTGACTTGAAACTGTGAGCAAACCATGACGTTTGAACAGCTAAGCTATTTAGTTAGGTTGGTCCCAACAGCCAATGCACAGTTATCTTTGTGATCATGAAACAGCGAACTGGACTGCCTAACTGAGTCAAAGTTAAAAATTCATACAGATAATGTACAGTGAATCAAAACAATTGTTATTTTAGCCATTAGTTAACTGACCAGTAAGAGTTATTATTACTTCACAAGAATCCTAACGAAATATTTAATCTTACCATATAATTATAGGTATAATCACCACGAATGGGGATATAGGTATAAGGTAAGAGGTTTGTGAAATACTGCAACATATTTCAATTTAGTGTGCATTGTTGAGTAAAGGGTAAGTAGTGATAACATGTTTCTAACGATGTTATAACACAATAGTTAACAGGTATTAACCTCGTATATGTGGAACAAGTAAATCTTATGGAGTACGCATTTTAATGACGCATAAAAGAGGAGGGCTAGTATCACTAATCCACCCCATAGGTAGGGTCTTTTTCATTCCAGGCGAAAAGACAGGGAATCGATGTGACACCACCATCTGTAAGGGGTGACTAGATATTAAAATTCCTATCTAGCAATCATAAACATTCTAAATCACGAAACACAGTCACTCGTTTGTACTTTAAAATACATAAAAACTGGCTGTTTACCTGTACCTAAAATTTCAGAAATAAACCTCTAGTGATTGAAATAGAAAATACGATATCAAAAACATTATCTTGAAAAGTGCCAGTACACAGTACACATGGTAGCATACGTATAGACATTTCGTCTTATTTAATTCACATTGCAATAAAATAAAGTTTGAGCCACCCTATGATAAAATTTATTGTCAGATATATTAACTGTAATACAGGACTGTGGTTTTAGGGGAGGATCTTCAGGTGTGAAGCGGTTTTAATGTAGCAGTGAAATAATCCAACTCTTGAGATCTTCGTATAGCAAAACCTGGGGACGAAAATTACGGTCAATAGAAATTATGAGAAAGAAGTAATAGTTACTTTGGACTCCTAGATATGTTCACGATTGACAATACGTTTGTACGCCAAAAGGGTTACCTACATGATTTATGTAATCCTCTTATTCGGTCCAGAGTGGTAATTAAAACACGACAGAGTTTATCATGATGAGTGTTTCATGGTTAAACACGGCAATGAATCCGTAAAACAGCTAAGAAACCAATGAACCACAAAATAGTAACGTCCATACGGCAGTGAAGTTAATCAATAGTTGAATGTACCTATATGTGGACCGGATAATCATCAAATGAAACTAGTTGATCTTAAAACAACCATTACTATGACAATCAGTCAATAAACTTACTCAGAGAAATGATGGTAAAATTGTAGTGTAGACGAACTTATTAGAAAACCTAAAGTAAAACAATGCAGTGAAATAGCTATTTTTAGAAACCTTTATGTTCCATAACAAAGTAGTAAATGTGTATAGAAGTGGTTACTTGCTTTCAGACAACAGTTTTCTGGTAGAAACTTGTTACCTTTGAAACTAATATGTAGTCAGAAAATTTTTCTCGGAAACAGTTGTCAGAACAAGATCATCTATATCCAATAGATATCTGAGACATTTATGTAGCTTGAGAATGCTTTGTATCACGGATTGGTAACAGCTAAAATACGAATGTAAATTAGACAGCACTGGGTAGCTATTACCCTAGTTTGAGACCCTTCGTTAATGGACCTATGTGACCACATGGGGTTGTACATTTAACTTCCAGGTTTTGCAACAAGAATACTATAGTTAACTCTACAAATGTGGTTGATTTGAGTCACAGAGTGGTTATCACATAATGTTCTGAATAAGTTACTGTTTACTCTTGATTTAATTGACTATATACATCAAAGATTGTCATCGGAACTTCGGGAAATCTATTCCCAAGTTAGTTATGCACAAATGACTGGTAGGATATGGAGAGAATATTTAATATAGTTAGGCTAATTGATAATAGGAAGCTAATAAGGACGAGCTTATATAGATAACTACATATTATAGAATAAACAGGCAGAGAAGCTAGTGTTACCAGCTGTTTATTTCCCTTCAGAATCCGGGCTTTAGCTAAATAGACGAATAATGAAACCTAAATATGCCACAGATATTTGGTGTTTGACAACGGCTTTACACGTAACACCTTCATAATCAAAGTATACCTACCCAGTCAGAAGTCAGAAATGAAGAGGTTCATATATTAGGAAGACCATCAACATCGACAAGCGTCTAGCCTAGGCTGGATAACAGTTTCAAGGGACGCGTAGCGTGGCGTACCCATTCGTAATCTGGTGCGGACAAGTGACCGAGTGCCTTCAGCTAGGTGTGTCCAGTAAAGCTAATTGAATCAGCATCCGTGTTGAAGACTTACAAAACTATTTATTTTGGGGATTTGTTTACTGTGACAAATCATCTGTTAAATTGTACATAGATACCTAAAGATTTGAAGAATCCACTGGGAATCCCATACTCTATGGACGTACAAATGAAATTAAAGATGCCAAGTTCTGAATTGTGGAGCAAAACTCATCCATTCATACGACTGAACAGCATTTTGGCATTATGATTGATGCTAGTAAGTGATGAAAACCATCATATCAATTCATAACCTTAAATTCTAACTCCAAGTATTAGTCTTTACGTTCCTATTCCTTACATTAATTTATAAACCGCTTTGCACCCTAGTAAGTCAGTGAGTTACCTCAAGGTCACTTCAGAGTCACTTAAAGGTCGTCCATACACGACAGTACTACAAAAACACGTAATGCGAATAGTGAATAAAAAGTTCAACTACATATATATATACATATATGAAGTAGAAATTCTGTTTCCTTATACAATTCTTTGTAACCATCCTTTATTATAACTTTTTATTGGGTATAACATCCAACTTATACTCGAGTCCTAAGAACCTTAAGCTAAGATAAAATATAATAGTCTTTCCCCTATATTCTTCTCCGGTTTGCCCATATTTCACCATAGTTTTCTGCTTATGTATCCTTTATGAAATGCTTCGCATTCATGACCGTTGAGCAATTAGTCTCTTTTGACACGGGAAAGCTTAATGGAAATCGAAAACAAAACATGAGATTTAAGTCATCCAGTGATTTTATCCTATTTAAGTAATTATTAACACGGGATAATTTTCAAAATCACATGGTGTTTCTGAGCATCAGCATAAACCTGTCCCAATTATCTTTCTGCTTTGTTAACCTACAATTATGTGACAATTGTCACTTCAGTTGTTCTAGCAGCTGTTATTTGCGTTCGCGCCACACTGTTATTTTGCACAAATCTCCAGGTTTAAGCAGCTAAAACAGCTGCGATGATATGATGAAAGTAAATATAAATTGAGGATATTATATTCATAGGTCGTTTTGGAAACCGCTGTCATGAGAAAGTTAATCAATACGCTTAGAACAAATTGAGAAATTATAACGTCAAAACAATGTAAAAAATGTCTGAAATTTATAAGAACTTTTAAATATTGGCTTTTCAGTGACTTCATAGTGAATATGTACTCTAAAACTCACAAACCCGAAGACGATAGTTAGTCGGCAGATTTGAATAATACACCAGAGTGACAATAAGAGACCTTGAGATTGCCAATCACTGAAACAAATACTTTCACTTTCACATATTTTGTAGAAATGTTAGAATTGAATAATGTTTTGCTTCAAATCTAGATCATGGAGTAAAATATCTGTTCGATATTTAGCAAAAAATCCGGCATCTCACGATCCGATAATCAATATTAGACACGAGCTCTCATAGACCGATCGATTTCTTTTGGCTCACTACTTGTTGTTTCGGTACGATAACAAATCCCTAATTATGTCCAGTAAGTACTAGTTTAACCACTTGACTGCACTTATCCCAGTCACTCTGACAGTTATGGATTTTTATGTCTCAAAATTCGAGTACATTTGTCTCAGGGCAGTAGGGTTTACGAACACTGGCAGCACCCACATTACTAGGAACGGGGTTGATTAGTTCTAAGATGAACGCCTATAAAGTGATGACTCTGGTGCTAAGGGAAGACAACCATTTCAAGAAATAAATGAATAGTTTGGTTGGCAATGCCGACTGTGAGAACGCCGGATAGAAAAAATAAGAACAGAAACGGGGATGATAATAGGCATAATAAAGAGTAGTTACTGATATGCGGTAGAGTAAACCGTGGCAGATTATGAGACATACATCAGACGGCCGGCCGAAGCGGTAGACCGTAATTTATAAATGAGTACACGTTTGCAGAGTATTTTCGTAAGTACTTCCACTGAGGAAGAGGCAGTTATTTGAGCTAGAAAAGGGATTCCAAGTAGAAGCAATTATTAACCAGTAAAATGTCATCTATACCGATTAACTGCTAATTAGTGAGCGGTTGAGACATAGTATGTGGTGGTAAACTTCTGATAGCATGTGTGGTGTTACGGATAGTAGTGGATTTATTATGTTGTACAACCCAGTCAGGAACTACATCCTCATGTATCTTGGAAAAAATAAATATACGTTTTGGAGCCAACGGCAGTTTCCAGTTTCATAACCATGTCGTAGTTAAAACTCAGAGGAAAACAATCACACTTAATGATTGTACAGAGAAAAACAATTGAAGAAGTGATGAGGACAAATTGTTGTAATCGGGTGGCTCGCCTATCCATCAAAGTTATTTTCATGTGAACAGGATGTCAATAATTCATAAACTTTGATCGATATTTCACCCCATTAATAAACCTAGATTTTTTCCTAAGAATTGTTATACACTCCTATTATAGAATGTTTTGGTGTGAACGACTGGTCATGAAATCTCGTAATTGATTTACAAAACAAGTGAAACTAGAACCAGATCCAACTGAAAGCACATGCTATTGATCATTACTAATCAACCTACTAGTCTTCTTACGTTGTTGAAGAGAATTTCGGCAGTTTGTCACATCACTTGGTGCCCCTCTACAGCAGTTTATCTTCTGGTTTTTAGACTAGTCAATGTGTTTTCTGCCTGTACAACGTGTCTCATTAGCGGGAACTTGGTGTCCTGTACCGTTTGTTGGTGAACGACGTCAACTGACACTAAGGTGTGGGGAAGTACCTGAGTTTTGCTCTCTCTGATTTGCAATCATCTGAGGGTTGCCTCGAAGAGCATGGTAGGTATATTTTAATTGTATGCTCATGTTGAGGTGACTTGACGTACCTAATATTTCACCTGACATTGTCAGATCACTTCTTATTCTTTCTCAGAGGGAATAATCGCATGTCGTAGTCTATCTTCTCAAGATTCATTTTTTAGCAACACCACCCATTTAGTTATTCTTTTCTATTCTTGATCTGCGAGAGTTGCGTCTATCTTGAAGAGACTGGGCACAACAGCATTTTAGACATCAAGGTGAGGCTGTGAGTTTGTTCTTGACAATGTCGAGGGAAGTTCCGGAGTGATTTATCCAAGTTGTTTTCGCATAAAGTGAATAGTTGCATCTTTCTTGACTATATGTTAAATGCAGTTTGAGCTGGTGTCTAATCTCTCTGTGGTTGCTAGGCCCAAATCTCGCTCTGATGAAACAATCCATTGAGGACGTATAATCTTTGTGTCAAATGAGCCAGAATGTTAATGACGTGATATTTCAACAGGCCAAGTTTTAACCAATTGTCTGCCTCCTGTTCCTCCACTGTTGTGAATTCCTTTTGAAGCTCAGGTGAACCTCAGAATCCCAGGGTATTCCACATATATTTAATACTTTGTTCGCGATAAGCTAACCAATTTCATACCTAAATCCTCTATATCTCATTGACCAGACAAATATTCTATCAAACCATTCGGCTGTATTTGATGGAGAGTAATAAAGGTACTCGGAAGCATTTAAAGTGAGCTAATGCTGCGGTTAACTAGGTTTATGACCATTACATAGTAAAACCACTAATCCGAAACAAATTTTCTATGCAGACCGGTCCTGTTAGACACAATATATCTGAGTGTATCATAGTTTTTACCATAAGGAATAGGTTAACGTTACAAGTAAGCGAATATTATGTTGATAAATAGTGTCCTGGAACACACGGGTATTGTCGTAGTACAGCAGACTTATTCTACCAACAACTACAGATATATATATATATAGCGATAACGCTTTAACTGATATGTCAGGGGAACCTTTAACATAGAGATTAACCTAGTTTCCGGCTGACTTTAGGGAATAGAAATGTTGGTTTCGCCCACCGATATTCAGTTTTAATCTCTCGTCAGTGGTTTTGAAGAGACAATCACACAAACCCGAGGTGGGATTTGACAGAGTTAATTGATGAATCTAACTTTTGGATTGCTTATAATATTATCCCTTGTGGGATACTGCTTTGATAAATATCTGCTCACGAAGTGCCCATAACTCATCCGTTCCCCCTCGGATTGCCAATATGTCTACTGAAACCGGACACTTATGAGAAAGTGGAATATTATGCTCATATAACCGTGCAGTTTTTTGTATCTGCTTATCTGACGAGAGCAGTGACGTAACGCTTCGGGCTTGGTTGGTTGTGTTTCTACTCAGTTTGTCCTCGAGTGGTTTCTCATCCAATTTTTAAACTTACGATTGCTCGAGTGGCAGATGAGAATGCACCTGGTAGTCGGACAGGGCTTCGGAATATCATACACTGCAGACACGGAGTTGAGTAGCCCACTCGCGTGACCCTCTGGTAGATAGGCACTGGTAAGCTGACTGACAGGTTTTTCTCTAATCCAAAGACCTTATTTAGGATACGGTTTAGTCTACCACATTAAGGAAGTGGGCTTCAGATTAAGCGCCAAGTTCTTATGTATTGTTCCCACTGCTTAGCGGAGCGTGGTCCCAAACAAATGGTGGCAGACAGACATCATACCAACCTTCGTGGGATGTCGACGCAATGTTCTTTCAATCTGCTGGGCAGAGGCTCCTGTTTAAGTACACTCAAAGGTTAGGGAACCTCTGATTTACTGCGGCCTAAGTGACCGTGTACAAAGCTAAAATTTCTTCCATCAACGACAGTATCGTTTCAGGGATGGGTACTCATGGGTCATGAATCGTCAGACTGTGATGGAAAATGAGCCACGATCCTCAATCGCATTGGTAAAGTGGATGTCATATATCGCGGCTCTTGACAAAATCAATCCAATGAGTCTTGTAATTTGACTTGAGTCAATAGGCGTCAAGTCGGGATCGAAAGACTGATTTGAATCTTTTCTTTGTAATTGTCTTTATAACGTAAGACTAAGCTTCACACTTTCACAGGCAATAAAATGTATCGATGTGTTCTCAGAGGGTTCATTATTAGGACCTTACCTCCATTAATCCGTTTGAATTAATTTCCTCGCAACGTACTAGCTTTTCTGAGGATGTTAAGCATTGGAGAACTTCAATCTCTAGATCTTCATCCATTACAATAAATCAAACTCAGGGGCGACCTTTTGACGACTTGCAGTGTCTTAAGCTCTCATGGACATCTGAAATACGTTTGTACGTTCATTTGCAACATGGTCTTATGGGAAAGCACTCAGAAATGAGAAGTAAAACACAGCAAACTGTAATAAATTCTCGTCTTCTATTCGTTATGATCTGTTAAGTCTTGGAATTCGCCACTGGGGAAGAGATGAAGTCAGGTTTCAGAAGTGTTTAAGGAGGAAATTTACTACATTCATAAGGGATTTGTACATTATCTCATTTTAATTTCCCAACATCTGTCTTTCTCTTATTCAATGTGACTAGGTCCTGATTGAATGCTACTAGATACGAAAGCTCTGTAAATGAAAGACTCTCATATTTTATCCACAACCATTTGAATCATTTGGAATGCATTCACTAGTGAAATACAAACACAGAAAAGTTTACCAACGCATCAGGACTATTTCAGTTAAGAAAGATTCGTGATCATTCTGTGCCACCAAGATACAGAGAAAAATTCATTTTCTCTATTCTAGCTGGTGATGTGGGTGATTCTGCTATATAGAAATGAGCAGCTTCAATCTTAGCAACACCGCTTAGCGTGATGTTCTCTGATATGCGACGGTCTACGTGACCACTTAATATCCATAAACCTCTTTTCACCCCAACAGTACAGTTTCAGAAAAGGTCACTTTGTATAACCAATCTGCTGACCACCGTGAACAGAAAAGCACCCATGATTGCAAGGGGAAGTTGGACGTCATATACCTAGGCTTCTCCAAAGCTTTTAATAGAGTAAACTATATATATTTTATCAACAATCTCCGAGAGCTAGGCCAGTTCCAACACAAACTTAAAGGGTAACACCCAGAAACTAGAGACACAACACAGCAGAACGAACTTCAGACACACTTTCTACTCCTTAAGAGTAATCAAATGTTGGAGTTCACTGCCGGTTGGGCTAGTCTAAGCTACTTCCCAGGAGTCCTTCAGGGGAAAACTTGACATATTCTTAAGGACTGAGGACATTATCTTACTATGATTTACCAACATTTTGCTTTTTCTTCTTCCATCGTTAATATACCTAGGTTCCTAATTGGAGGCTTCGGCGAAAAACTGCTACTAGAAACGGAAGCCCGTTAAGCGAAAGCTTCTATTCCGTTCGGAATCACTTGAATCAGCATTGAGCATACA